TGCTGAAGTGTAACTTCTTTTGTGGAGGTGCTCTTCTTCTTTGCATCTCCCGCCGCTCGGTGCTGCTCCAAGTCCATGGCCAACTTGGCGAGCATCTCATTGCGTTTGACTGGAGCTGGTTCAGTAGAACTTCCACCACTTACTGAACTTCCATTACTACTACTTCGCCGGTAGCTGATGCTGATCATCGTCGAGTTGCGAGGACTATCTGGGCTGACCGCTGATGATGATGATGACTGTTGAGCTGGTGGTGAAATAGAAGGAGGTGGTGGTGGCGGTGGGGGTGAAAGTGGTGATGACATTTGCGGTTGGGGTGGTGATGATTTAGAAGGTGGTGATAAAGGAGGTGGTGGTACTGGTGATGTACTCAGCTCTGGTGATGCTGATTCGTAGGATTCTGGTGAAGAGGAGGTATCGGCAGAATCGAGCGAATCAGTGGGACTAGGAGAAGTACTGGTTGTACTTCGATCATCTTCGAGCAACTGCGCCGTCGGACTTGCTGAGCTGGGAGAACAGCCGCTGGCGCCTGAATCCGAGGCAGAGGAAGAGGAACTGTCATCAGAAAAGCAGCAGTCTTCAGCAACAGATTTTGTAGACTCTTTTTTAATTGACTTTTTGAGCAACTTTTCGGGTATCTTTTCCGGTAATTGCTGCTGCTGCTGAAGTTCAGCACCATGCTGTTTACTGCCATTTCTCAGCAGGTACAGCTGGCCCTGGTCGAGGCGGACGTCGGCGACGTCACTTTTCAGCTCTTCCGGCAGCTTCTGAGTGTCTAGCGGGAGAATGGTGCCGTCGTTTTCGTCTAACAAACTGACGGAATTGCATGGCAGCTGCTGCTGCTGCTGTACAAGATGCTCAGGCTTAGGTGGTGGGGGTGGTAATGCTGAGTCGGTGGTATCAAACGACGGTTTCATAATATTTGCAGGTGGTGGCGGTGGTGAAGCCTCTTTAGCTGGCTTTTCAACCGTCGGCTTTGAAAGGGAGATATTTTTCGGTGGTTTTTCGGGTTTAACTGTAGTAGCTGTTGGTGAGGGCGTCTTCTCCAGCAACGCCTGCTTCAGTGGATTAGCACTGTTGCTGTTGGCAAAGGCCGGCGGTGGTGACCGATTTAGCTTGTCGGCGTTGATGGCCGCCCGGGGAATGCGAATGGTGGGAATCTCGGATGATGATGAGGATGATGACGATGATGGGCTTTTAGAAGAAGGTGATAAGGGAGATGGGGATGATTTCAGTGGTGAGGATGATGATGATGACTGAGCAACCAGGACCGATGGTTTTTTTGCCTCAATGACCGGTTTTGCTAGGCTGACAATCGGTTTTGAAGGCAAAGAAGAAGAAGAAGAAGAAGGAGTTGTAGGCGGAAGAGGCGGCGGAGCAGAGGTGGGTTTGACTACTGTGCTGGTGCTGGTGGACTTATTACCTCCAGCTTTATTATCACAATTATTTTTCTCCTCAAAAAGGGACTTTTTTAAATTGGCGGCGGCTGCAGCTTTGTACTTGGTGGGCGGCAGCGGCTGCTGGTAGCCATCCTGAATGACAAACTTAATCGGCCCGCCAGAACTGCTGTTTGAATCGCCTTTTGACGCTCGGCCCAGGCCCACCGAGGCCGCCTCTGTCAGCTTAAAGTTGGCGTAGTTTGAGTTGAAGAAGGTGTTGGCCTCTGTGAGCTGGCGCAGCTTTATCCGCTCAGGGTCGTGCTCCTCATCAAAGTCGGCTGAGGAAGTTTGAGATGATGGCGGTGATGATGGTGAATTTTCCTCAGAAGAGGAGTTCAGTTCAGAGGACTTTAGCGACAGCTCAAAGAACTCCTCTTCATCCTCTGAATCCGACGCTTCTCGGTAGATCACCACCGGCCCGCCCTCTTGAAAGGTGATGCCCTTCTTCTTTTTATTCGAGGGCTTTGAGGATGATGAGCTGCTGCTGGTAGTGCTAGCGGTGGAGTTTTTTAGCAGTCCCATTTTTGGAGGTGGTGGAGGTGGTGGTGGAGGTACAGTCTTCTGCTGCTGATTCCCAATGCCTGCAAAAAAGATGTAAAACAAGAGTTAGTGTTGTTTGCTTTCCAAAAGTGTTTTTCAAGCTGTGTCAGCAGCGGCGTAAAATAACATTGGAAAATGAGAAACTAAATAAAAAGGAAAAGAAGAGAAGAACTCGATTGCTCACTACTAGACACTGTACAGCACGCGTCTGCTGATAAGCTCTTTTACTACCAGTACTCTGATTAGTGATCATCTCTCCTTTTCTCTTGCAGTGGTGATGGTAATGGCCATCATCACCATTACCATCACCACCATCAAACTGTACACTCATCCTCTCATTAGCTGCTGCTCTTTTTTAGAGACAATGTCTCTGGGTAATTAGCAGCAGCAGCATCGTACGCTTCTGACAAGAGAGAGAGGCCTTGCACAATGACACCGCAACCATTTGCCTCAATGAGAGAGAAAGAGAATGAGAGAAAAAAAGAGTACTCATCACTACTCAAATCACAGTGTTTCAGGTGTAAAGCTCGGTTTTATCTCCTTCTTTCTCTCTTCTCAGTTCCCTGCGCTCAAAGCAGTGTGTAATTTTAACTTTGTGTTAAACTTCAAAGAAAAAGAAGAAGAAGTTAAGGGGTGAAAAAAGCCGCAGAGGAGAAGAGGAGATCCCGTTAAAATAACGGCGGCGGCAATTGCAATTAGCCAAAGTGGAAAAGTAGAAGGAGATGAGGAGGGGAAGAAGTCGATTTATCAATTGAATTAGCAATGGAAAGTGACAACGGGTTTGCTGCTGTTGGGGTCACCACCACCACTACCGTAACCGTTTACTATTTTTATACACCTCACTCTCTAATCAATGTCTGCCTTTTTTCTGACTCATCATCATCAGCATTAACATCCATCTCCAGCTGAGAAAAAGAGAAAGAAGAAGCTCGCAATCGATAATAAATAGCATCAGCATCCCTGACTGACTGCCACTTGGCCACTGGCAATCGGAAAACGCTGGGCTTCTAATTAGATTTATATTTAACATTGCTCAACAGTCACTGACTGACTGACTGACAGAGAGAAGAGAGAAGTTCAGTAGTGTTCGATGACCTTTTCAAATTAAAAA